TCAAACCCGCGTTGGCCGGGCAATACAACTTCGGTGGCGAAAGTTTTCGGGGGTTGCGCGTGCGGACCGGAAGAGAGGCCGAACGGAGGAGAGAATCAGATCGGTTGTGTCCTCTCGGAAGATCGGTCGAGTCGATGAAACGGGCTTTAATCGGCCCTCGATTATCCGTTCATGGATAAAATTTTAATTTACGAAGCGAAGGCAGAGTTCCAAACGGTTACGGTGCTGCGGGAAATTCGTCCGCTTTATGTGCTGTCGCCTCAAAAGTTTCAGTTTGATCGTTAAGCCCCGGCGTCGGCGTTCGGGGGTGGGCGAGGGTGAGGACGGTCGAACGGCAGACAGAGAAAAACACGGTCGCGAGGGTAGGAGTGGAAGGGTGACAAGAGCTGCAGGGAAATTCGAAGCAACGGGTTTGTCATATTAAACCGGTAGATTGGAATTCTAATTAATACTCGTGAATTATCGATAAAGACGCGGGGAGGGAAGAATGGGGGACGAAAGCGGTGGGTGGAAGATGGTACGACTATAATTCATCCCCGTTCGTTTCATCTTTCATGCTGCTTCGTCTCGTTCCTTTAAATACCTTCTCCAACTTGCCAACGCTTTCCGGTTCGGTCAGCGGTTCTCAAACTTCCACCTGCCTCTCCCCCTTGTAAACGCGATCCCGTTTTGTTTCATGAATCAAGATCGCGCGCGGAAACTCCGAAGAACGCTTGACATTTCTCGCTACAAGAAGCCTTTTCAACGCAAACGGCTAACAACCCCGAGACCATTTTGGCCCGCCGCTTTCAGAAATTTGAAGGTTTCTTTACCGAAGTTTCGCGAACATCGCGTGATTTACATTCAATCTTGTTCCTTTTTTTTACACGGTTTCAGTTAGACGCGAATTATTTTTTATTTTTTTATTTTTTTTAGATTTGGATTAATTTAACACGAAGAAATGGAAACGTGGTTTGGTCAAGAAAGACCCGAAGGTTTAGGTGTTCTTGTTGTACAATTGTACCGTCAATTACGTTCGATACTGTGTAAACGAGGAAAACATAAAAGTGTAATCGAAGCATTGTCTATCAACGAGTTATCAATATTTTAAATGATTTCTTTTTTGTTTTCATTTAAACGAGAGGATAGGTTGTTTGAAATTTTTGACGCTTGACATCTTGGCATTTGATGAGACCACTCCATGCTCCATGCACCGAACGTTGCGCGAATAAATACATGTTGCATCGCAGAAGAACACGTTCTACTGATCCCATTGTCCGGTTTATTGACATTTCTACATCCATCTGACAGTGCAGTATCAATCACGAATACTGAAACGTATTGTTCCCGACATTTTGATCTCTCGTTTCGATTGATTCGATACCTGGCTGAAATGTTTATTCACATAAGTATTATTTCGAGTCATTCCGATATGTGCTCGTATCATGAAAACACGTTTTTCGGGAAGAAGTAAACATTGTTTCAACAAATTCAATAGCAAAATTTTGATTTTTATCCATGTAGAAATTTAAACAAAGATGTTTTCCCTTTCAATAAACAGAATAAATAAAAACGTTTAAATATTAACAATGAAGCAAGCGAAAGATTTTTTAAATCATTGGAAGAAATGAGAAACGTAATTTGCAATACAAGAAACGCGGATTTTTTATTTCAACTCGTCCATTCTTTATTTCGTAGTAATTTTATGAAATCAAGTATGCAAAAATCGTCGAAGAACGAAGAAATATAAAAAGTTCAGACAAAAAAGAATCGCGACGTAGCTGATTCGTAAATATTTCAAATTTCGCCAGCTTTTTTACGTCGTCAACGACCACACACCGGCGAAAAATTATTTGTCCGAAAACTTATGTGCAGTGCCGCACGGGTAGCGTATCTTTGCATACGACTGGGGTGATTTCTGCGTTACGTCGGACTCCGCGCGAAAAAAAAATATGCACCGGCTTGCACATGAATTCCAGCCGTGATGAACTTCGCCAGTAAACCTCAGTGTCCGCCAATTCCATTTCGCTTTATGAATGTATCACGCACCTTTAGAAACTGAAATTTCTGATATATACATTTCATTGGAAGCAAGTATACAGAAAGTGATTACGCGAGTTGAAATAAATCCAAAATGTCAAATGGAAATCATTGGGTTCCCTTAACGAATTCACATTAAGACATGCTTTTATACGTTTAATAATATATCGTAATAATAACAAAGGAATTATTGCAAAAATGCCGTTGAAATACAGTCGTTTGTAACATGTTTAATTCTCTGACTTGAGTTACTATTTACGGATGAATGTCAACGAATAACTTAATAAACAGATTAATTATCAACGTTAATTTATTTGAATGCTGTAAATTAGCTGTTTAGCACCGACGGCACACTACGACACGAACGCGTTAAGTCCTACGCATTCTTCGTATTCTATTCTGGATCCAATCGATGTGTCACCCTTTTTTATCGTATCATCTCGTTTGCTAAGCCTTTTTCGATTTGGTCGCGTTCTCGTTCTTCGGATCGAGTTTCACGGTGTCATTTTTCTATTGGCCGCGAGTAGCGATATTCAGATTTTCTCTTGCCGATACACCCCTGGTGTTCCCATTGTGCTCGCTTATATATCTGTTAACGTGACGCGAGTCGGCGAACGAATTTGTTCGCGCTTTGCGGTCTTTGTTTGCGCGCTGAAAGGATATAGGTCGATTGTAAATAGCAGATTCTTTGTTGCTACGCAATATCGTGCGGCCGTGATTTGGTGCCCGATAAAAATTTATACATGACGTTCATTGTTTCAGCTCGCGATGTGCCGACGCGTGACCGGTTATTGAATTTTCTATATTGCCTGAAACGTGTAGTAAAAGGTCGCGTCGCGCGTGCAAACGAAATTTTAATTAGACGAACAGACCTATGTGTAACGGAAAAGCGCGATTCTCGGCGAACCAATGCGACGCGCGGTCTGGGAAAAGGCGAGTTGGAGCTCTTTGAAAAACCGTTATCACCGAACATCGGCCACACGGCACACACCAATGACCCGAGCGTCCATTGTTGCGTCACAGTTCGGACATTTCTGTTTCCGCGTTTTCGTGTTTCTACTGATAAACATTAATGAACAAACGTAGTTATAGCTCGCGCGGCCACGGCATCGATTTTTTCATCTCCACCCGCGAGCTGATCCAATTAAAGTAACAAGCTAATTAATTAAAGTAATTTCTCGCAACGCGAAACGAATTGTACAGCAAAATTCGTTATCGCGAACCAGACATTGGCAGTTTGAAATTCAATGACGCTTGAAGCGACGCCACGTTTCTTCGTTTCTGTACGCCTAATCTAGGAATTAACATGAACCGCGGATTTCAGGCATAAATTGCTACGATCCGCTACGGCGAATATTTAAAGTCGATGATCGGACGAGAAATCGCGTGTCTCTAACAACAAACGAGTTTAGAAGTCTAGTTACTTATAATGGTAAATATTTATCGAGTTGCATGATAAACAGAGTGACATGGATATCGGAAAGTTATAAATTTAAATTTCATTTTTAAGAATAACAAGCCGTTGTGTCTGGCAGATGAGAATACCGTGCTACGAGAGAAACATTTCAGAAGCAATAACAGTAAAATACATCTCCGAGGAAATTACAATTGAGTTTCTGATGTAATTGGACGCATAATAAACGTGATTCAGATCCACAAAAAATACGATTCCCCGCGGGGTAGACAGCGATGGCGGCTAGGTGAAAGGCGACGCTCATAGTGTAAATAAAAGCAGACTCAAGCCAGACAAAGTATTCTTCCTCGCCTCTTCCTACCTATCTGAATCCCTCTTCTCGCTTTCTTAAAGCTTGAAAGAGGAAGAAGAGGAAAAAAAAGCGAAGAGGAGAACGTAGTCCCTTCACGGACGGTACCAAGCCGAATCGAGAACCAGCAAAAGTGGAATTCTGAAATATTAATGTGACTTCCGCCAACGCCGCGCGCCGATCTCCTCCGCTTCTCTTCCACTTCTTGTTTTTTTTCTCTTCTCTTTCTGCTGCTACTGCTGCTGCTGCTTCCTCTTCTTTTTCTTCTTCTTCTTCTTCTTCTCCTTCTTCTTCTTCTTCTTCTTCTTCTTCTTGTTTTCCTCGTTCTTTGACGTTTACCCGTCTCTTCTTAATATACTCGCGTAGCCGTGCAATCTTGTCAAAGGGTGCACGTACACGTCTGCACACGGTGCGCCAATGGCTCGCCGGTTTCTGGCTGAGGAGGAAAATAAATTCATAAACCGAACCGATTTAACCGGCGGAAAGTCGGACGATTTTGACCGTTTCACTGGAAATTCAAATGGTACGCGTAAAGCTGCTGCAAAGTTCTTTGGCCACGATAATTTCACAAACAGTTTTAATTGTTAGCGGCAAATTTGATTTTGAACTAGAATAAAATACTAACTACAACTGTTTAGAGTAATTTCTTAAGAGTTCATCGATCTTACAGAATTTAGGAGGATCTTAAGATTGCTCCTCTACTTTTCGAGCGATGGGGGGGAAAGATTTTTCGAAAGAATCATCAAGATTAATATTTTTATATCGATAACCTAGACATTTCTATTTCTTCGGTTTCTAATTTCCGTGATTCCATTGATAAATTAATTCGTCAAGAAACAAATATAAAATAAATTGTTGAAAATGCTCGATTGAAGGGTGCATATTTAAGAATATTTAATGATGATCACTAGAAAGCGGATTTTTATGTACTTACGAGGAAACACAAAATCAAATAAAAAATACATATAAAATTATTCAAAGTTACTTTTTATAACATTCATTTTAAAAAAAACCATTATCTATTATTTTTCTAATTATATTCTCAAAAATTCGAATTTACATAAAGATCCGCTGTCCGGTGACTACTGCACCGCGCAGTTTTTCTATTTTCTAACATTCGTAGCAATAGCGATAATAAAAGTAGTTAACTAGTAACCAGGTATCTGTACGCGTAGAGGCACCCCTGACATTTCGTTTTTTTTCAAATGGCTGTTCCAGGAAGGTGAGAGGGGTTACTTAGAGGGGCTTGCTTCAAGATATGCAGACCTCTTCAGAACACATTACGGAGACGTCCTGGAGCCACTCGAGGAACTACGCCGCCGTGAAACAAATCCTTCCCCCAGAATGCCCAACACTCAACTCACCACCAGTCATTCACAGCCCATTTACGTGCCTGGAAAATACTCGGTGAGTGAATCTGTCTCTCTCCGACCGCCGTCGCATTTCATTCTCCTCTCTCTATTTATCGTTGCGACTCTACTTTATTCTTCTCCTTTGTTCGTTAACTCCGTCAGAATTCTTTGGTACATACATTACATAATTGCGCCGATTTTACATGTTCCCTCTGTTCTGCTTTTGCCACCCGTGCGCTCAGAGAACTGGCTCTCGCCACGAAAATTGCGACGACCGTTTAATCAGATCACGAGTTTTTCCGTATGCATTCTTCGAGAGTCGAGGAATACGTTTTCGTTTGACTTGAATGCCTTAAACATTTCACTCGGCACCCTAATTTACGCGTTCGTAATTTCTGGAACGTAACGTTAAATGGTTGCGAGTTTGTTGAATTTCCTTCTAATATCTTTCTGTACTCGGTAATCGCCAATGAAATAAGAATAATCGATTTCCAAACGTTGAAGTATAATGTACGGTGAAGTTCTTGTGTTAAAATATTTTGTTTTTCGCTTCGATTCATTTTTATAAACGTGTTTTATAATATCGCGATGCGCTTTTGAACTTCAAGTAACCAGTAAAATGAAACAACGTCTTTCTGCAGTTGTAAAATATGCGCAATGAAAAGTTGCAAGATTAATTTTATTCCAAATATAATAAATAGCAATTTCTCTTTTCCAAAAAGATGGTCTTTAATGCCACGCAAGGGGAAATTCGTGTTCTCAGTAGCAAATAGAAAACTAACATGATAAAAGAAAGTATCTCCTATTTTTTGTTTCGCATAGCCCTCGAGCTGTCTCAGCGACAAAGAAGAGGATGAAATCTATGGTTTTGGGTATGGAGTATTCAGCAGGCAAATGCTTCAGCATCGACAACAGAAGCTCGCTCTTGCCGCACAAAACACCACGATAGCACCTGGCGGACATCAACAGCCTTATCAAAGGTAAAAAATCTCTTTTAATTACATGACACAGATATTATTTCCATTTGGAGACATTTTGATTCGCGTTGTCGCTTTTGGGTATTGTATTTTCATGGGCCAAAAGCAATTGCCGACTTTACGTAGCAAATTAATGTGTTCGTTCGAATTAACGTTTTTATAATAACTGGAATATAAGGAAGTGTAATACAGTTTTAATCATTAAGAGAATATGTTATTTTATCGATGGTTTCATTTAGAAAAATCGTATCGTCGAATTTCAGTACTTTGATCGGTCGATGTGTCACATGTTCCGCCTCGTTATCACACCATTACAGATCAGACGATCGTCGTCCAATTGATTAGTGTCGCTATAGGCGTGTCCGAGTGACGAATAGGTTGTGTGTGTTAATTGTTCACGGTTGTGCGCACAAATACGTGACGCCCGTTTGTCACACGGTCAATGACGCAATCCACGATTGCACATCCATTACAATCGCCTTTAATGCGCTCTTTGAATGCAATATCAACACCTTTATTATTAAACCACGTGTCGTTTTAATCCCCCCGTAATTAAAATAATTGAGCAGAAAATTTATTAACGACCATTCATCGTTCGCACGGGTACATTTGTATAGGATTTGTAACGCGTTACGTTTTTAAACTCGTCGACTTAATGAAAATTTATTTTGAGCTTGGAGAAAATAAATCGACTTTATGTGTCGTGCAGCTGAAAATCAATTTTCAAGTTCAAAACCAAGCCGAGAAACAATTTTCAAGTTCAAAACTAAGCCGAGAAACAATTTTTCTCGTATTAAAAAGCATAATATTAGTATATTGCATTATAATATTATTATATTTGCAGTTACTGAATTGATTTATTAATAGTTCGAATATTAGTTTATATATTTATATTTACTTGTTTAAAGTTAATCGTAATTATTCATACAACAAACTTACCTAATTTTACCAAAAACAAAACAAAAGAATGTTTCTGTAATGTTCGATAAATAACAAATGCTTGTTAGATACCTATAAAATATATATTTACGTGTTTTTTTTACTACTAAATAATAAACAGTAACAAGAATAAAACCAGTCAGAATATTATTCCGAAACGAGTGTTTCTCGGTTTATCGCGTGTTTTCATTTAATCAACGTGACGTAGACGTTTTTGTCGAAGTACTCGGACCATGATCCAACTTTAATGGACAATGAACGTAGCATAAACCTCGATAATATTTAGCATCGGAATTGGTGCACGCCGCTCGACGAGAAAATGGGATTTTCTGTCGCGAACCACTTCTGCTCGGCGGTATCACCCAAACGTATATTTTTATTTACGGCATCATTCGTTATCGCAATAGATTAAGATAGATCTCAACGAGGAATGGTCGCGCTCGGATACTAAACCTGTTACGGAAGTGAAATTGATGCATTTTCAACGGCGCGCAATTTCGACGGTAAACATTTCTACCAATGATACACTGGTTTTTATTAATATTCTGACAAATATAGAATACAAACAAAATCCGTGCAATCAAGAACAATTCGATACATTAGCTGAGTATCTAAAAACCAGGTTTCTGACATTTGATCAAAAAATAATTTTAATTCTTTTCCACGCGAGGAGATCATACACAGAAATTAATGCTTAAAAACAAACGTCCCTTAATTCTCTCGACTTCAAATTAAATATTATTTTTCTGTTATCGACTGTTATGTTTTAAAGTGAACACTGTTATAATTAAAAACGTCATGCTCCTCTGTTTCTTGTAAATTATTCATTTACCTTTACTAAGGTTGCATCCATCAAACTTGACTTAAACTTTTACGAAATAATGCTCGAAATTCAGTCTAAAATTTCAATATAAAATTACTACAAGTTTGCTTACAATAAAATTAATTTAACATCTGTCAAATTGACGGATTCCGTGAAACCGGTGTTATGTTTCGTTCCATTAAATCGTTCTATAAATCTGTACATTCGCGTAGACATCCGCGATGTCGATAATCATTAAACGTATCTGTCATTCCAGCGAATGTGAGTTAACTCGATCAATCGTATCCAACGGAAAGAAAGAAATATAAAAATTTGATTAGCGATGGGATCGTTTTGACGCAGAAACGTCGGGGACGCCGCGATTTCGAATTCATTCGGCGGAAATAATGCGCCGCGCGTGATTATACTCGAATCAAGTTAATGCGGCAGCCCGGGGTACGGATACCACGTTCGTTTCTATTCCTGTGATCATACGGCCGGACGCTTCCGCGGATCGAAAAGACGAGCGTTTCCGGCGCTGTTCGCTAAATGAACTTTCATATTAATACACGTGCGCTAAAGCGTCGCGCCGCCGCGGCCAAAACGTTTCCGTGAGTCGGAAAAAATGTAAGCTATCGTGCCGCGGACGATTTCAACTGACGAAGTCACCGTGTCTATCGGCTTTTCGAGCATTTGCATTTACACGGTTTGCCGGACACTCTGTACATACGGAGGATCCGAGTCATTCTAGAGAAAAAGAAACGACGGACGGTTTTTAATTAAATTGGAATTTAAAATAAACTTCTGAGGGAGTAGTTCTTAATTAGAAATGAAAGAATTAACATGAAATTTTTTGATACGAGAAAGCCTTCAACGTTTTCCGCGTGGATTATCTTCTCACGCGGGAACGGATAATCGCGGAACGCGTTTCGTTCCGAACGATTTAGACCAGTCGAATTTCGTAACCCGGTAACAACCTAGTGGAATGAAAATTAATCCGACGAGGAATTCTCAGCCGAAAACTCGGCCGTTTTATTAATAAATATTTCCCAAGGAGAAATTGTTGCGAACACCGCGCGACAAGATGGAAAAATTCTTGCTTCAAGTTGTTTACGGAGGATCGTAGTTAAATAACGCGTTCAAAGAAATCAACTTGCCCCCGGCCAAATAGTTTCTCAATCTCTTCGCCTTGCAATATCAAATCGAACTCGTAATGACGACTTCAAACTGATTTTTTTTAATGTAAACATTAATCCGTATCATCAGAGAAATAATATTTGCCTTCCCGCCAATCGCGATAGGGGATTTCCTTTCGTTGACGAGAAAACGATGCACACTAATCTAGAAAATATTTTCGAATCCTCTTTTTACTGATCACAATACTATTTCCTACGTTTGTGTTCTGAATTGAGTGTAATCGAAATCAAATGTAGTTACCATTTCCGCTATTGGTAATCGATTAATTTAATACCAGAAATCAAAAAATCTAGCGATGCCTACAGTATTCTTGCCCTCTTTTTCCTTCCAAATTATACACTCTAGACCACTGCAAAGCGTAGAAAAGAAGTGACCAATGCGAAAGGTTAACCACTTGGGCTATGATTTATTTCTCACATAACTATGATCTACTAGGAAATGAAGAAACTCTGATGACTCATTCCACGCTGATTCCATGACTATGTTTACTCAATAGGTTAACGATTGATAACAGAGAAGTAATGGTTAATTCAGATTTAAAAAAAAGTAAATAACACTTATTTCTGTCAAATGCAGTTTAAAATTTTCGTCGCAAGTCTGACACGATATTGTAGGTTAAAGAGTTAACCGGTGACCCCCAACCAAATCCAATTACTATAGTTCACCCAGTTGAACGATAATTATTTGAAAACATTTCTATATTATATATAATGCTGCCTAATTCGGTGACATTCAGCTAGATGAACTTGCAATAATAATACTATAATTCAATCAAACGATTTAACATTATATTTTTGCCATTTTGTGTATTTTACTCTATCAAGTCGTGCGGCATTCAATGCATTAAAGAAACTGATCGCCACGGGGCGAAACAGAGCATCGCGATCAAAGAAACTGGGTTTATCATGGACACCGTTCAAGCTAACCAATCCTGGTCGATCGCTCATTTGAAAGTCATTTGTACGGTGAAATTGATCACGGGCCAGAGTCCGATTCATCGGCGATTCGCGTGCCAGTGCCGTCGAATAAACGATCGGGCTAATAGCGAGAGACTTCGCTTGGCCGGTATAACGGACATTGTTCGTTTGCACGTAACCGGTGGAACAATTACGAATCTATTCGGGCACGGGAGCCCACTCGAGGCAATCATCTCTCGCCGGCGCGGCCAAAGAGAGAGGCCGGACGGGTCAGAGGAAGCGTCGAGAGGGTCCGGACAGAAGCGATGGGGGTCTCCGGTCGGAATTGCAACGTGGTTTGCCTGTTGAGATGTTAGCTTTTCGTCAAAGACCGCTATTAGTATGCAGTTAGTATTACAGAACGGTGTATCGGGATACGTGGATGATACGTCGCCGCCTATTACCGATTCCCTGGCATGTGAACCAACCGACGAGCCCGCACGGCGAACCGTACTTCCACGGCGCGAGGCCATGCGCCCAGGATCTCGCCCCCGCACTCCACGATCGATGGAACGGGGTCCGAGTTCGAGTCAAACCAATAAGACGATTAGTCTCGACGGACTCGACCCTCGCCCCTCCCGGAAACCCTTGTACGCGCGCTACGTAGTATTCCTGTTAAAGCTGGTTTCGACGACTTTGGACGACTCGCAAAATACGAAAATTGAGTCGTTCGTTGGTCGAATCGGTCAGCTATTGTTTTCGAGTTTTGTCACGTTTCATCGTTGATGCGCTTAACCCATTCACCGCAAGGCAAATTTTCAGCGTCTTGCCCAGGGCGCTGAGATCAATAGCAAACAATGTAAACTTGTAGCGCAAACTATCCACGAGATCGGATCTCGTAGCCGGAAGTTTCGGTACACACGCTTACTGCGAGATATCTCGTAGCTGCTAGTGAATGGCTTAATTGGTTTTTAATGTTTTGTATTTGAAACGAGTTTCTTTGTTATTGCGTTTAGTACGATGAAATGGCGAAACTTTGTTTTGGCCGTGCGATAATGGAGATAATAATAAAGGTTGCTTGAAAGGTTAATTTGCTAAACGTTTATAGAAAATCGTAAAACTTTAGATCTGTGATCTGATAGTTCTTTATTTTGCGAATTGCTTAAACTCGGTGACACCGAAGACGAATACAATCGTGATCTCCATTACTGCAGAGGGTCATTCGGTTTCCAGAATAAATACAGCGCGTTAAGAAAATACGATTGTTAGCTCCAATGTTTCTGTGGCCACCGGGACAAGTATTTGTTTACGGTTTTGCGCGCCGCTCACCGGATTGAGGTTAGGGTGGTTCTTGACTTGATTGTCGGAGAATCGAAGGGTGTAAGTACACTTTCACGCTAAAGGTACCAGTTTAATTGATCGAGACGTGCTTCTTCGAATGAATCGTTCGTTGTTCGTTGATCTGTTAATTACAGGTATGTACGTGGACTCGAAAATTAAAGTATTCGAAGAATTGAGTTTCAAATGAAAATCGATCTTTGCGTTGAAAATTTCGAAAAACTTGTAGTATTATAAATATTCTTTGAGAAACTTATATTTCGTTAATATAAAAATATAATTATGGTTTGTTACAAGATCGTAACGAAATATATTATTGCTGTAGTGTCCGATCAATCTATGATGTATTTCCATTGTAATTAGATTTTTTTCAATGTTCCAGTTGCCTAAGTCCGAGATCGGCGTTCTTTTACGAGTTCCCACCCAATGGTAAGTCGCTACACGAATATCATATATATTCATTAAACGTTTAAAAGTTGGAAAAGATTGGATAAAATCTTTTAGCAAATCAGTATTTCTATAAGCATCTCGTTATTCACATATGAAGCAGCGCATTTCTCTTTCGCCCACTTTTTTCATTATTACATTAACTTCAAGCTTTTCTTTCGGTGTATATCCCTTGTCCAATTTTTCTTTATACAAAATGTCCCAGGAAAGATGATCTGGTTAAGGGAAATGGTCCCGGATTTGAGATAAAGAAAAAGGAACGCCATTTTTCTATACGCTTCCCCTTACTTTCTCAGCCATTTTTTATAGGATATCATCCTTCTGCAGGGATGTACTCCGTATCAAATTTTTATTTGCCCTCTACACGTTTTATTACTCCGTACTTGTCATCGATCTTTAACGATTATCGATAAATTAATTTACGAATCTCCAAATCCTGTACCTAGGTACCGTAACTTTTCATTTTTTAACGAAATACCGTAATGAACAGTTAAAAAGAGGAAAGAACGTTCGTTTTTAACGAATCGAAATTTTGACGTCGAAAATTCACGGGAGAACCTCGAGAGTGAAAAAATAACTGTTCTCGAATAATCGATGTTCGCCGTTCCGGAAACACCTACGAATATATTCGTACGTTCCACTAATTTCCCCTTCTAAATGAAAACAACCGCCATCCCGGGCCTCGTTAAATCGGTTGCTCTGAAAAGTTCCTCCCCTTCCACTCAAGCCTTTCAATTTGCATTGCGATGTTCGGTCGGCGCATACAACACCGTAATTCGTATCACATTATTAATGCCCGCGCCATTGTAAGCCACGCTATGGACATCTGCGGCGCGTTAAGTGGCCACGGAACACGGGGATAGACAAAGAAAATAGAAATCTGGCCAAATATGAATAAAATTTACCGTTATTTTGTGTATACTTATTTTTACCAAAAGTTCATTTAATTAGCTTCATTAAATGGAAATAATCTAATAAATAATTAAAAAAGTCGAAAAATCAGGATGGATAAAAAATAATTATACTTAGAAAATAATTTTCATATAAAATTTTGAAAACTGTCTTTTGACACCTTCAGTAAACACAGTGGTAACGCCAAACCTAATGCTGCATTTAGATTAGCCGAGTACTCCAATCTCACGCTGGATTATAATTCGAAGGATTTCAATATTTTCGTCCTAGTATACTGTTGTTATTTCAGTAATTAAACCAATCCAGCGACTAGATTAAAAATTTGCTTTTCCAATTCAACGTCTAAACGATGCGAACAGTCCGACCCAGTGTTCCAAGAAAATCTGGAATATAGATAAATAAGCATCGGCCAATTTTCAGTGAAACCACTGGAATAAATTTCATTTAATCCAGCGACTGAGTTAATGTAAATCCAACGTTATTCTAAGGAAGAAAAAGATCCAGAGGCGGTTGGCACCAGGCAAACGGTAGTAATCCCACCGTTGAAGAAATGAATGAATAAAGAATTGTAAAATTTCTTTATCCGAAGCTTCACTTTCAAGGAAATCGAGTTTGCATATTATATTAACACACGTTAGAGTTTCATGTGTAAATTCACTATTTAAAGTATGGACATGCTTCTATGAATCATCCGGCGCACACATAAATGGTGCAACAATAGAGCGGCGTGGTCGCCATGTTCGTGCGTGCCGTCATTTGCGATGGCCACGTCCTTATGCAGACTTCACTGACGCGGCTTCGGATCCTTCCAGTCAGCGAAAAGGATCAACTGCATTATATGCGGCGCAGCTGCCTTTACATATATCCAGATTCCGTAGCCCGAGCCACAATGATATTCTATACCTTATCCGTCCGCGATACACGAGGATAAAGTCAGCTATAGAGTATGTGTTCATAAGGCTAGACCTGAATTGGACATAAGGGTCGGACAAAGGGACAAGTGCTCTGTTGGAACTTGTTAACAACTGGTTTGTGACACGAGCTGGTCTGGTGTGTTGTTACTTCTTACACGGGACTACGATTTTGGATCGGACAGCTTTTTTTCTTTTTATCGACTATTGTTATTTCTGCAATGATGACAGTTATCCTCGAACTAAAGGTAGAAGTGGAAAATATATTTCACGACGTGGTTTGGAAATTATAAATTACAAAAGAACAACTCTTTTTATATCCGCGCGGTTGAACGTCGAGGATTCGATTATACTAGATGGAATATTCTGATCGAATTGCATATTAAAAATTGGAATTTGTTGGCCGTTCCTGTTGCTGTATGTTAATTCGTTTTTGCGTGAATACGCGTATTCGAATCGTCGAAAATGGGAAATGTTTCCGAGATTTGTTTCCTGTAATCATAATACGATAATTATTGTATCGGATCATATTAATTCGGCGTCGATTGAGAGTTACTAACGCTTCCCCTTATTTGCTCGTGCTAATATTTAACTTCTGTGTTCGCCAATGTTTCACCGCGATGATAAAACGCGGGTTCCGACGATTCAAAAGAAAATGGAAGGAAATGCACCGTCATTCGAGTAGAATTCTAGGAAAGCACTCGAATCCACGCTCGATTTCCACGGGTGCAGTGATAAAGTAGAGAAGCCCTGGAACGTAGTTATGTCGAAGATAGACGTCGAGAACGGCAAATAAGATCACGAAGAAAGGACGCGCGGTGCCATTGGAATTTTTCAAGATATCGAAAAACACTTTAGATCCCATATTGGAGGGGCGTTTGGCACGCTGGCCAAAGGGGTTAGCTTTGATATTTCATTTCCATTCACTACATCCGCTATCCTCACCCCGTCGGCCTCGCTCTTTCCAACGTTATGAATGCATAATTGAGGCTAGCCCCATCTAGTACACTCCACAGACATATGTATCTTTAACGACTATCTTTTCTTTGCTCGGCCGGCGTTCCCGAGCTTTCTCCTTTTTATTTCTGCCACTAGAGCGGCTTGCTAAATAAAATCAAACGCCTCTTTATACATCCCCTTGTGTTTCATTTTATTCGGTTTTTCATATTTCGCGGTGCAGCGCTATTTACGGCGCCGCTCGTAATTATCCGATATTATTCGTAACCGTTGCGCTTTATCCTGGGTTATAAAGATTAATCTAAACACTCTGTATTACCGTCAACGTAAATATTGTGTTTGCTGCGAGCAAAGAGCCTCGTTTAAAAAATATACGTAGGTAGTTCTCGCGCTATGACTTGTAATTTAGTGACGAAGTTTTAAAAATTCATTTGTACGATCATTTATTAAATATAATAAAAGAACACTTTAAAGTGGAATATTGTTCATTTTGTCGTGTGGTGCAAATGAGTTGAGGGTTCAATTCTGTGCACTCGAGACGTCACTTTCAATCGCCACATGCTGTGATACAGAAAAATTATAAAGACTTATATATGATATTGATCTTTATATATATAGAATAATAACATGTATAAAGTTATAACAATTTAAAATAAGTCTCTTTAGTTATATGAGTCTGTACAAAAACGGAAAGGTTAGACGAAAACGAATATTGTTCTAACAGGACGAACGTGATCGGCTATTGCTACGTCCACACGCTCGCTCTTTTACCTACGCGCCAGAGTTTGAAAAGCTGATTTTTTTAACAGTATAATGCAATTATATGAGGTATTCAAATAAAATAGCATTGTTTCATTTCTAGTGAAAAACTTTCGAGTAAAACATAGGATTAATTGAGATTTCACATCGACACGGTGACATGTCGTCAAGATGTCCAATCAAGAGTGTCTTAAACGCCGCACACCCAATGGTAATACAAAGTAAGGGGCATTGTGGTCGAACTGTTTGAACCCTTAACGTTTGTTGTCAGCGCATAGCTAACTACCGAATCCTCGTGCAGATCTAACCTAAAATTCGTGAGGCTTACCAGAATGCACAAACACATTCGCCCGGGTTGTTTGCTTGGTGTCAACTGTGACGGAGCAAGCCTGTTTGTTCTAACTGAAATCCACGTGGCGGCTCCCCAGCAACACTGGCGCCGGAAGAATACGTTTACAGTGTACGACTACATTTACATCGGGTTACTATCGTGGCTTACATATTCCAACAACTGTTATACCTACCCTGGAATCGTAACTATCGCACGTTTGGTGCGAACTGCGCATTTCCCACCTGGAAGTATGTACTTTTTCGAGAAAGGAGCTACATACAGCTGTCGCACAAGATACTCGCGAATTTCTTTGTGATAAATTGTACTTGCTTGCTGGAACAGAACGAAAATCTACGTTTCTCTGTTACAATTACGGACGATATGTAATAATTATGATTTGAAATGTACTGTTTACAATTCAAGTATATAAGGAAGTTTATAATTTGAAATTTATAACTTACAATTGTAATTTACATTTGAACTACATAAATAAGTTTATAATTTACAACCAGGATATATAAATAAGTTTACGATTTGCAATTGAAATATACGAATGTGTAATCTCAATTTCGAACCCCATTCTCAGATCCATTATTCCAGTAAACAACTTCTCGCGTGTCGGAATTAGATAAGAATTCGAGCTGGGTAGTTTCTGGAAATAAAATCGCCTATCAGGAATTGAAAGTTCTTTCGCGGCTGCTCAAGCGTAATACGGTGCTGCATTATGTCGAGAGAATGGAACGTCGTTCGAATGCTCGAACGCGCTGCACCGTTTTCCGTCGATATGTACTTTATACTTGCGTCGCGTGCGAAATTTCTACTCTCGTACGGCCGATAAAGATACATAATCTGTGATTTCACCGGGAATTCTGTAAACGCGTAAGTTAATCTTCCATTGGCATGATGGCCGTCTCGAGATACGTACGCGGGCCAGGATATGAGTATGTACCACGTTGTTCGATGACCGATAATTTACTTGGTGTTTATTCGCGTCGCGTGTCGGAACGCTATTCAGAAAATTCTTTTCGTAACGCGAGGGGCAGTGAAATACGTGCCACGATTCTCTACAGTTAGGAGTCATCGATCAAAGCTACGGGCATCATTAGCCTACT